GTAAATATTTTTTCTGAACCCTCTCCAGTTTAATAACATCCTTGATATAAAAAGGCAACCAGAACTGCTCACAACACTCCAAAAGAGGCCTCAGCAACATCCTGTACAATCTCAACATGACACCCCAACTCCTACACTCAAAGGTCTGAACAATGAAGGCAAGTGTGCTGAATGGCCTTGTAATCACCCTGTCTACCTGTGGTGCAAATTTCAAAGAATTATCTACCCGAACCCCCTAGGTCTCTCTTTTCTACAACTCTACCCAGGGCCCTACCATTAATTGTACAAGTCCTGTCCTTGTTTGTATTTCCAAAATGCAATATCTCACACTTATTCAAATTCCCTTCTGTGAGACAAGTCGAAGATACCATTAGTGCAGAGGTTGTTGACGCATTGTCTCCAATACTCAGTATGTTCAGTGTACATCAACAAATTATGTCTGACAATAATCAACAGAATATTAGTGTATCCTTCCTAGCCATATAGAGGCAACAGGGTGTTCATCATATTACTTCCTTTCTTCACTGCCCTCAATCAAACCCTCAACTGAACTGACTGTACTATAAAATCCATGATAGTCAAATGTAAGGGCTAATAGCCAAAATTTTTAGGTAGCTGTGCCAAATCTACCCTCTTATAGAGTCATAGAGTCATTCAGCATGGAAACAAACCCTTTGGTCCAACCAGTCCATGTTGACCATAATCCCAAACTAAGTTCTGAGGAAGGGTCACCTTAACTCTGTTTTCTCCTTCACAGATACTGCCAGACCTGCTGAGCTTTTCCAGCAATTTCTGTTGTTGTAAACTAACCCACCTACCTGCTCCTGGGCCATATCCCTTCAAACTTTTCCTATTCATGGATTTATGCAAATGTCTTTTAAACATTGTAATTATACCCACATCCACCACTTCTTCTGTATAAACGAATTGCGCCTCGTGACTTCTTTAAATGTCTCTCCTCACCTTAAAATTGTACCCCCCAGGCTCGAAATCACCCATCAGAGGGAAAAACATTCAATTATCATTAACGCTATCTATACCCCTCATTATTTTATAAACTTCTATAAGGTCGCCTCTCAACCTCCTACACTCCAGTGAATAAAGCTCCAGCCCATCCAGCCTTTCTTTATCCTCTGTGCAATGATTTATCTCCACTGTCACCTCTCATGTTGGGAAAACAGATCCACACAATTCTTCCTTCCTTTTCACATTTTCGCTACAACCAAATGTGCATCTCACATTGTTGGAAAGAAGGAATAAAATAAAAGCCATCATGAGTATCAATGAGCATGCAGACTATTATACCAACTTAAACCAGGATAGAGTATAGAGATTTTCATAGGAACACATGACTTTGTGGCAAAATATTACGTAAGTGTGTCCAGCCTAGATCATATGTCATTGTAATGAGCAATTAAGTGCTGTGAAGAAATACATAACATATTCAACGTGCACATAAATCAACTATCAATCACACAGCCTGATTTCTCAGATACTGATGATGTCATGCTGGACCGATCATATCTACTGCAAATAATACACATCCATCCACGATGACAAACCGCAAGCCACAGAGTGAAGCTACACAGCCAACTCATGATAACAGTATAAGGACTAGATCTGGTTGTGTCATATATCTATCAATATGTTATCTAAATGTGTACAGATAATGGATATGTCATTATAAATGTTAATGGAATAGGGTTCCCATTGTTTAAAGGGGAAAGGTGCGATTTTGTATTATGGCACAGAAGAAACCCAGGAAGGCATGGTACCTTTTCAAGGCAGCTGCACGACACTACGATGTGTAATGCAGTCATTCACTCTCAATTTATTGGAGTCACTGCTTAGTCAGTCAGATGCATATATATGATGTACAGAACATCAGTAAACATAGAACCCAAGACAATGTGGAAGTCTGTGATATTGTAGCCTTGTAAACTTTACGTGTTGTAAGTAAACTTCAAGACAAGTGTGTCACAAGAACCCAAGTCTGTGTGTCAGAACTGTTACATGAGGTAGCATAGTGTGCAACACTCAGATCATGTCATTCTGGCAGTAGTGTTAGACCCACGAGTTCATATCATGATAATACATTAATTCTCAATCTTGTTCTCAAATGTCTCTAAACTTGTGCCCCTCCTTACCTCTGTAACCTCCTGCAGCTCCAAATCTGGCCTTTTATGTATCCCCAATATTAGCCACTGTATCATTGTCAAAGTACCTTAAGTTTCCAGGGCTCTAAGTTCTGAAGTAGTAGGAACTGCCGATGCTGGAGTCTGAGATAACAAGGTGTGGAGCTGGATGAACACAGTAGGCCAGGCAACATCAGAGGAGCGGGAAAGCTGACGTTACAGAAATGGGGGAGGGGAAGGGGGCCCTGAAATAAATAGAGAGAGTGGGAGGTGATGATAGAAGGTGGATAGTGGAGCAGATAGATGGAGAGAAGACGGACAGGTCAGGGAGGCGGGGATGAAGCCAGTAAAGGTGAGTGTAGGTAGGGAGTTAGGACGGGGGTTGGTCAGTGAGTAGGGAGGGGTGGGTAGGTGGGACAGAAGACGGACGGGTCAAGGAGGCCGGGATGAGGCTAGTAGAGGTGAGGTGAGTTAGGTAGGAAGATGGGGTGGGGATTGGTCAGTGTGATGGGAGGAGCAGGTAGGTGGGATAAAAGACGGACAGGTCAAGGAGGCGGAGATGGGGGGTGCTGGTCTTGGGATGAGGGCGGGGTTGGGGAGATTTTGAAGCTTGTAAAGTCCACATTGAGACCATTGCGCTGAAGGGTTACCAAACGGAATATGAGGTGCTGTTCCACCAGCCTTCGGGTGTGGCATCGTTGTGACACTGGAGGAGGCCCAGGATGGACATGTCGTCCAAGGAGTGGGAGGGGAAGTTGAAGTGGTTCGATACTGGGGAGGTGTTGTCGTTTGTCACAAACCGAGCGTAGGTGTTCCCCAAAGCGGTGTCCAAGCCTCTGCTTGGTTTCCCCAATGTAGAGGGGGCCACATCAGGAACAGCAGATACAATATGCCACATTAGCAGATGTGCAGGTGAACATCTGTTTAATGAGGAAGGTTTTTCTGGGGCCTGGAATGGAGGTGAGGGGGGAGGTGCAGGGCAGGTGTAGCAGGGAAAGGTGCCAGGGCTGGTGGGGCTAGTGGGGAGTGTCGAGCGGATGAGGGAGTCGCAGAGAGAGTGTTCCCTCTGGAAGGCAGATAAGGGTGGGGAGGGAAAAATATCCTTGGTAATGGGGTCGGTTTGCAGGTGGCAGAAGTGACAGAGAATGATGCGTTGAATCTGGAGGTTGATGGGGTGATATGTGAGGACAAGGGGATTTCTGTCTTTGTTGTTACTGCAGGGAGGGGATGTGAGGGCTGCGGTGCGGGAAACGCAAGAGATGTGGTCGAGGGCGTTTTCGACCACTGTGGGGGTGGAATTACAGTCCTTGAAAAACAAGGACATCTGGGATGTCTGGAAGTGGAACGCCTCATCTTGGGATCAGATGTGGCAGAGGCGAAGGAATTGGGAATAGGGGATAGCATTCTTGCAGGAAGGTGGGTGAGGGGAGTTGTATTCTTAGGAGCTGTGGGAGTCGGTGCGCTTGAGATAGATATCAGTTTCCAGGTGGTTACCAGAGATGGAGACAGAGAGATCCAGGAAGGAGAGAGAGATATCAAAGATGATCCAGGTGAACTTAAGTTTGGGGTGGAAGGTGTTAGTAAAGTGGATGAACTGTTCGAGCTCCTCGTGGGAGCACAAGGCAGTGCCGATACAGTCATCGATGTAACAGAGGAAGATGTGGAGGATAGTACCAGTGTAGCAGCGGAAGAGGGACTGTTCCATGTTTCCTACAAAGAGGCAGGCATAGCTTGGGCCCATGTGGGTACCCATGGCCACCCCTTTCGTCTGTAGGAAGTGGGAGGGGAGTTGGCCACCCCTTTCGTCTGTAGGAAGTGGGAGGGGAGTTGAAGGAGAAGTTGTTAAGGGTGAGGACGAGTTCGGTTAGGCGGATAAGGGTGTCGGTGGAGGGGGATTGGTCAGGCCTGCGGGACAGGAAGAAGCTGAGAGCCTTTAGGCCATCTGTATGGGGAAAGCAAGTATATAGGGACTGGACGTCAATGGTGAAGATGAGGTGTTGGGGTCCAGGGAATCGGAAGATTTGGTGGAGGTGGGGGGCATGGATGGTGTCCCGGACGTAGGTAGGGAGTTCCTGGACCGGGGGGAGAAAATGGAGCCGAAATAAGTGGAGGTAAGTTCGGTGAGGCAGGAGCAGGCAGAGACAATGGGTCGACCAGGGCAATCGGGTTTATGGATTTTGGGAAGGAGATAGAAACGGGCAGTGCGGGGTTGGGGAACAATGAGGTTGGAGGCTGTGGTTGGGAGGCCACCTGAGATGATGAGGTTATGGATGGTCTGGGAAATTATGTTTTGGTGGTCAGGGGTGGGGTCATGTTCAAGGGGGCGGTAGGAGGAGGTGTCATCCCCGCCTCCTTGACCTGTCTGTCTTCTCTCCACCTATCTGCTCCACTATCCACCTTCTATCTTTGCCTCCCCCTCTCTCTATTTATTTCAGAGCCCCCTTCCCCTCCCCCATTTCTGAAGAAGGGTCCGGACCCGAAACGTCAGCTTTCCTGCTCCTCTGATGCTGCCTGGCCTACTGTGTTCATCCAGCTCCACACTGTGTTATCTAAGTTCTGAAGTTCCTTTCCTAAACTCTTTTGGCTCTCTACCTCATTATCTTCCTTTATGATGCTACTAAAAGCCTATCACTTGTGACCAAGCTTTTGGTGACCTAGCTTAAATCTCATTAAATGGCAAGTTTTACTTGATAATTCTTATTACCAAGTATCTTAGGAACCTATGTTGTGTTAAAGATGCTATATAAATGCAAGTTGTTGCTTCTGGTCAAAATCTAAGAAGGCTAAGAGTACACACCAGTAGAAAAATTCAAGGACACGGTTTAACAGTAATCGCTTTACTTGCTGAAAGGAAGTTTAGGCTCCAGTCCTTGGTAATCAAAGTGTTACAGTAAAAACACAAATGTAAAATTAAAATGAGCACATTTACTCCAGTTTTCCAGTGTTTTCCAGTTAAAAGTTTGTTGCAAGCATGAAATAAACAATTATTTCAAACTGACAATAGCTTTCCAATGTTTGTGCAATACGGTCAAAATGGCAATTTGCTTGATAAATAATTAGCATCTGGAGTGACACAGGCTTTGAGTAAATATCCAGTTATTTCTTACAGCGTGAGCTAATTCTGAAATCTAAGCCATGTGCACTGGATTCCCTTTACATTCTAGACTAGGATGTTGGTTTAATAAGAGAGTAATCCATTGCTTTGGTCAAACATTCACGAGCCATATTGATAGCATCTTGGTGCTTTACATTATTTTCCAATTTGCTAATGACTGTCAGGATTTCCAGCATTTCACTCTCAATGAGCTTTTTGGCAATTTCCTTGTCTGCCTCCATCAAGTTGAAAACAATGACCAGACCTCGGTGCTGAATTTCCACGTTGTCATGCATACAGAGTCGCTGCAGGATTTCAAGCCACTGAACGGTCTGTGCACAAAGACAGAAAACAAAATCCAATCAAGATTCCTTCAAAAGTCCCACTCCAATCTTTTAATTGCAAACGCTTGTGAGCACTGTGGCTAAAGGGACAATGTGAGAAATAAAATAGGTGCATGGTCAAACAAGGCCAATAGAGTTACTAGTGATTGAATTTGGAATGGATTGTCATTAGTGATTTGAACATTAGAGATAGGGAGGGATGTCACAATGAAAGTATTTGAAAACACAGATGGGAATTTTAAGTTTCAGGCAATGTTCATAACTGGGAGCAAGTGTAGATCAGCACAATGGTGTTGGGAAAATGGAGTGTGGTACAAATAAGCGTTTGGGCGGCTGAGTTTTAGACTGGCTCAAGATTACAGGGGGTGGAAGTTGGAAGGCCATTGAAATGATCCGCTCCAATTCATCATGAATATTCATCAGACTGGTTCCAGGGACAAGAGGCTGAACAAATTGGATCAATGCTTTCTCTAGGTAAGAAGAATGAGAGGTGAGGTCATTGTAACATATAAGATTCTGAAAGGGCTTCACAGGTTAGACGATGAAACATTGATGCCCCTAACTGGAGAGTCTAAAGCTTGGGGGCAATAGAGCTTTTAGGACAAAGATGTCAATCATTTAGGACTGAGATGAGTAGAAATTTCAGTTCTCTATATCAGAGGATTATGGATGCTCTTTTTGTTAAGTATCTCTAAGGAAGAAATCCATAGATTAAGGGATATAATGGCTGGGCAGAAAAATAGAGTTGAAATCGAAGGTCCTGCCTGATCATATTGAATAGTGGAGCAGGCTTGAAGTTAAGTGATCTACTCGTTTTCCTATTTCTTCTGACCTTATGCACAAGTGGAAGTTACGATCTTGCCAAGCAGAACATAAATAGGAGGAAACCAAAAATGGATTATGTGGCACCCTAGTGGTGATGTTTCTGGAGTGGGAAGGAAGCCTTTGCAGGTGATTCTCTGTTTGGATAAGAGGATCCAGATGAGGAGAAGTCCCAGCCGGCTGAGCAATGGTGACAATGCGATGGAAGGGGATGATGCAGTCGAAGATTTCAGAAAGGTCAAGAAGGATGAATAGCAATGGTTTACCAAGAGTACACTGGTTTAGTGCTTTTTACTGATGGCACACCCAAGGGCATTATCATGTGAAGAATGAATGACTTGCATTTCTATAGAGCTTTTCACAACTCCAGGACATTCCAAGGTGCTTTACAGCTAATATAGTACACATGAAATGCTGCCCCTGTTGTAATGTACAAAATGAAGCAGGCAATTTATGCACAGCAAGATCCAAGATAATTTATCTTACAGATGTAGTGTGGCATGGGGTGGCTCAGTGGTTAGCACTACTGCCTCACAGCGCCAGGGACCCGGGTTTGATTCCAGCCTCAGGAGACTCTCTGTGTGGAGTTTGCATATTTTTCCTGTGTCTGTGTGGGTTTCCTTCCACAGTCCAAAGATGTGCATGTTAGGTGGATTGTCCATGTTCAATTGCCTATAGTGTCTAGGGTGGGAAATGCAGGGAGGGGGTAGGTGGTGGGTTTGGGTAGTATGCTCTTCAGAGGGTCAATTGATGGGTCAAATGGCCTGCTTCCACATTGTAGCGATTCTATGTTCATCAGGGAATAAATATTAGCCAGGTCACTCCACCCATTCTTTGTTGAATGATGGGATATTTTATGACCATTTGAGAGGGTTGATTAGGCCTACTCAGTGTAATGCTGTGTTTCCCTATATTCCAACAATGCTGACGATGCTTCAGAAGTACTTCATTGGTTGTAAGGCATTAGGGGTCTGATGCATTTGTAGATTGCTATATAAATGCAAGCTCTTTCTGTTCTTAGGGATTACAGGATTGTACTAGTATTGCAGTTGTCAGTTGGTGACACTCACCACTCTTGTCAACTTGTGGCATAGTTCCTTCTGGCTAGCGGTAAGCATGGCAACAGCTCCTGCAGCTGCCAGCTGAACCTTTACATCATCTTCACCGCAGAGTAGCACCAGTAGTTTCATTCGGTCATTTCCTTCAGCCACAAAACGTTCTTGAACCTTAATAATGACAGAAGGAATTCAGGCTCTAACTGCTGCTATTGGAAGTACTTGGCTCAATCGTAACAGAGTCCATTTGTTTTATGCTATAATATTCACTGACTCAATAAAACTTTGGGTCAGATCTTGCTGGGACACTATTGGCACTTCAGACACAGGCTGTTATTAATGAACAAATCACCAAGTGAGTTCAGGGGACGAAGAAAAGATACAACATAAGTTGTGAATCTCCAGAACGTGCCAGTTGATTTGCTCAACTTCTCTGATTAGTTTCATACAAACAGCATCTCATCCTGAGCCTCCTTGCTATTTCCAATAATTAATAGATTTGCACAATAAATTGTCCATAAAGTCATTGCAGGAAATTACATCTGGTAATTAGCAGTGCAAGTCTTTTAGATTTATGATAAATTAAACAATGGCGATCAACTTCTCCAACAATTTGCACAGCTGAGTTTCATTCATGCATGTAGTGCATTATTGCTGGAAGTTTTGTTAATCTCTTTCAAATTATTTTCCCTTTCTGTGCCTTTATTTTTCTCTCTGTTCCCTTCAGTCTTTATTTCTCTTTCTTTATTTAGTTTTCAGGACATCTCTCAAAAATAATTCACATTGTGTCCTTCTCCATTGTTCTTCTATTTCATTTGTAATCCATAAATCTCATTCATTAAAGAGAGAGACTGTTCTGTTGTTCACTGAGGTTCTATTTGTCCCTGCTGCACCATTGGCAATTCACACCCCTAACTTATTATGTTGCAAAACATTTGAAGAGAAAAGATGCAGGAAAGGATATAACTAACACGACAAGCAGTGCCATGCCTCACTGGAGGAAGATCTGGGCCAACACTGGAACAGATTGAGTTGTGGCTGAGTGATAATTGGTCAACGTTCATTTTAACTTGTATATTGGATCAGTTTCTATAGGATAGAGGAGGTTTTAAGTACATCCCTTTCCCATACTACTTCTACTTCTAAAACTGTTCACAATTGACATACAATATCCACTCATTACCCGTCAATTCTGAATAATAATTGCATTAATTCTTCCCGTTGATCTTCACTTACTTCCTTGCAGACAACCATATTGCACATACACTCAGTGGCTGCTTGTCGAATTTGATCATGTTCTTCAAACATGTAACATTCAATCTCAGGCAATGCCTTCTCCTTGATTATTTTTTGCCTAAAAAGAAAAAGGAAGGCTTCCATTTATAGAGCATGTTTCATAACTATTGGACACTCCAAAGTGCTTCTGAAGTGTAGTCACTGTTGTATTGAGGGAGATACAACAGCCAATTTGAATACAAGAAGTTCCCATAAACCACAATGACATGAGTGGCCAGATAATCTGTTTTTTTTGTGGGATAAGTGATTTTTTTGGCTGAGATATAAGTGTTGACCAGGGCACTGTGGAGACTGCTCTTCAAAATAATGTCGTGGGATTGATTACACTCACTTGAGAGGGCAGACAGACCCTCAGCTTAACAGGTCATGCAAAAGACAGCTCCTCTGATAATGCAGCACTTGTTCAATACCACACTGAATGCGTCAGGCTGGATTTAGATCAAGGCTCTGGAGTGGGACCTGAACTCTCACCTTGCTGACTCAAAAAGGATAGAATATTACCCTCTGAACCACGGCTGACGTAAAAATGCTAGAAAGTGGGACAATGTAATTAATTAAGAGTACAAAAAGCTACAATGTGGTATTATGGGTGGGGATTCTCTATCTGGATATGGGCACTGGGACAGTTCGCATTAGGTTCTCCACTATTGGAATCTTCTCTGCCTTGTCAGGTTTGGTATGCTTTATTCCTCCTCTATGGGTAGGCTGAATGAACTCTGAGTGGGAATTCCATGCCTCATTGGGAAGAAGGTCCACCCTCAGGAGTCCCACAGGTGCTTGCTAGAGGGCAAACCAGAACCATAGGCAGGCCCACATTGGAGTGCCCTTGGACTGTAATCCAAGTATGTCCAGGGGCTTTAGGCTGGGGTTTGTTTTCTTAATTTAGTGGTAAGGGGGTAATGAAGGGTCAGGTGGTGGGATTTAAAGAAGATGAGGATTGGAAGGAAGGGAGGGTGCTATCTTCTTGAGGGTATTCCCCGGGTAGGCAAGGGGCACTCTCCAATGTTAGCACCCTGCTTACTTCCTGCCATTGTAAGCACTTAAAAAAAACGCTGAATCCTACACCTGTCTGACTTCTGACACTGGCCAGATTATGGTGTAGGTGGTGCAATATAAGGGTCAATTTAACAAGCTCAGTTGGCCCTTCTTTTTATTTATATATGGTAGGTGAACACCAGGTTTGTTGGGCTTCTAGCCAACCATCTGTGTTGGCTACCAAATTTCTCCCATGCACCCCACCATCTGTGATTTCCCTCCCAGTGTTACTCTCTCCATAGATGCTGTCAGACCTGCCCAGTATTTTCAGCATTCTGCTTTAATTGTCTTGTGACGTAATCAGGTGGTAAATCTGACAAAAGGCAACCTCCCTAGAGTTTGACCTTTGCTAGAACAGAACTTTCTGCAGCTGTGTACATTATTTTTTCATTTTCATCTCTATCGACCCATTGATGCAAAATATCAACTCAATCAATGTCTAGAAAAATGCCCTTAGTATGCTGAAGCACTAATGCTCACCCATTCATCATGCTTTGTCTTGACAATTTCAGTGTGTGCAAATACACTTGATATTTGCAAGCCGCTTTACTCCATTGCATTAAAAAAACACACATTTATTAAAAATGTCTTTATGAATCACTCCATTAGCTATCATTTATTAGAATAAAATCCTTTCAAGATTTGAAACAGTGAGTAATTCTGGTCCTGAGATTATGAAAGAATTTGGAGGCACTGAGTAAGATGCAAACATTATTTAACAAATAGGAGCTGGAGTAGGTCACTCAACCCTTTAAGCATTCCTCATTCAATGAGATCAAGGCTGATGCAATATTTTCCCGCACTATTCCCATTTCCCTTGATGTTTTTAATCTGTAGAAATCTAGCGATCTCTGTCTTGAATACATCTACCAACTGAGCCTCCACAGCCCTCTGGAGAAGAGGATTGCAAAAATTCATCATCCTCTGAGTGAAGAAATTCCCCCTCATCTCAGTCCTAAATGTCCTGCCACTCATTTTGAGACTGTGTCACTTAGTTCCTCGAATAACAGGGGAAAAACCCTCCTTGCATCTACCCTGCTGTTCCCTGACCTGACCCTACTGGAACTAACAACCTCCTACCCAATTTCACTGGACATGGCACCCACCACCTGATTCTGGCCTGACACACACACATACACCTAACCCAACAACACCTCCATCTACCTGATCCCATTTGGAACTGACACCCCTCCCTGGACCATATGGATTGGAGCATGAGGTTTGAAGGGTAGAGGACATTTAGGGAAACTAGGAAAAGGTGAATGGTGGGTTTGTTAGTTAATTATTTTATTAGCAAAATGTAGAGGATGATCTAAATTAAGAAAACCAGGATTGGGAAACAGTTTGTTACAAATAGAAATTGGTAAATGCATGAATTCACCTGTGGGAGTTGTCTACAGGTTCTCTAACAGCAGCTACATGGTAGGGTGGAGCAGAAAGGAAAAAAGTGATGGGAGCTTGTGAGAAATCATGGTAATATTCATGGGAGATTGTATTTACATATCAACTAGAAAAGTTGACTGGACAAAGGTAATGAAGATGAGAAGCTTACAGAATACTATTGGGATAATTTCTTAGAACAGCCAACCAGAGTGCAGGGTATACAAGACCTGCAATTGTACAAGATAGGATTACTTAATGATCTCAGTGTGATGGTGTCCCTAGGTAGCAGTGACCATAACATGATTGTATTTTACATTCATTTTGAGGCAGAGAGGAGTGGGTCCAAGATTATTTTAAAATTTAAACAAGGGAAATTATGAAGGCATGAAAGCATAGCTGGCTAAAGTGACTTGACTCCCGAATTAGGTTAAAGGATGTCAATAAAGATGCAGAGACAGACATTTAAGACGTGTTTCAAAATAGACAGAATCTATAGTTTCCAAAGAGTAAGAAAAAAATGTGGGGAATTGTCGCATACCATCCATGGCTAATGAGAAATGTTAAAGATAGTATCAAATATAAAGAGAAACCTTATAATTATGCAAAGGTAGGTGGAAGGTCAGAAGATTGGGTAGAATGTAAAAATAAAAAGCAAAGAATAATCAGAAAATTACTACAAATGGAAAGATTAGACCATGAGGGAATACTAACCTGAAATATAAAAACAAATAGGAAGATTTTCTATCGATATTTAAAGAGGAAAAGAGTTAACAAAGTGAGCTTTAGTCCTACAGAAAGTGAGGCTGGAGAATTAATAATAGAAAATAAGGAAATGGCAGGTGAACTGAACAGGTATCTTTCATCAATTTTCTCGACAGAGGATACGAGTAACATCCCAGGAGCAGAGTTAAATCGGGAAGTGGAAGGAGGGAGGATCTCTGGAAAATTGCAATCACCAAAGAAGTGGTACTGAGTAAATTGCTGGAGCTGTGGGCCAACAAGTGCTCTGATCCTAATGGAAAGTGAACTAGAGAGGAGATTAAGCCAATGATTTTTTAAGGTAGCAAGTAATTGTGACGTGGAATGCACTGCCTAAAACAGTGATGGAAGCAGATGCAACAATAACTTTAAAAATAAATTAGATAAACACTTTAAAATATAGCTAAAATAAGATGAAATGGGGCTATGGAGAAAAAGCAGAGGAATGGGACTGACTGGATAGTACTTTCTAAGATACAGCACAGGAATGATGGGCCAAGCAGTATCCACTTGTGTTGTCAGATTCTGCAATACGCAAAGCCCATAAAATCTTTCAAAACAGCAATTTGCAAAACCCTTATTTGTATAATTTAATAAAATCAGTAGCGAACTTGCCTTAGTTTCTCACTTTTTGCAGAAATGTTTGTAAGACTCATTAGGGCTTCATAGTTTTGTATACCATCTCGCTCTGTGTTCAACAAACTGACAAGAGGCCTCACAACCTCATAGATCTGAAAGTACCAAAAAATAAATTTTCTAGGATTAACTTTTTACACAGTGGGATGGATTTATTATATATGATGAAGTACACGTTTTCTTTTAAAATACTTATTCATACTACTGGAGATGAAACAAACTTATGGAACTCTGCTGTCACATCAAAATAACTTACTGAGAATGACTCCTATTCAAAACATTCTACTTTCTGGGATTATCAGGTTGAATTCTACTCTCAGTGGCAATAAATAATGCGATCATAATCATTACACTTGTACTCATCTGTGGACTGCCTGTGGGCCTTTGCACTGGGTATTACTGCCATTCTCTAACCCTCTATAGGGCATCACAAGCCAACATTAACAGCAAAGGCAACATTGTTATGGGGGAGACAATCAGATTCAAAAATCATTCATAAGCAGCATAGAAACTAAACCAGGAGATGGCAATTACTTGCTTACTTACTCAATTACTTAATTCAATTTAATCAGATACAGAAAGAAAAATAAAGACAGTGAAATAAAAATGGCATTTAAAGGAATGGTCAGAACAAAAAGTAAAAAAAGAAACACACTTGTTTCGTTTAATGTGCAATAATAATTTTAAAAATGAGATCCTACATTTATTAACATTAATTTTCAGGGAGAGATCTTCGAGGCTGCTTCTGTGTGGAACCACAGGAGATGGGAGAGATACTAAATGAATATATCGCATCAGTATTGGTACATAAAGACATGGAAGCTAGGGAACTCAGGGAAAAAGATAGTGATGTCTTGAAAACAGTCCACATTACAGAAGATGAAGTGCTGGAGATCTTAAAAACATCAAGGAAGATAAGTCTGTGGGATTTGATCAAGTGTATCCTAGGAAATCGGGGAAGTTAGGGAAGAAATTACAGGGCCCCAGGCAGAGATATTGTATCATCAACAACCACGAGTGAGGTGCCGGAAGACTGGACGGTGGCTAACGTTGTGCCTTTAAGAAAAGATTCAAAGAGAAGCTTGGAAACTATAGAGTGGTGAGTCTGACGTCAGTGGTGGGTAAGTTGTCGGTGGGGATTCTGAGAGATAGGATTTATATGTATTTGGAGATGTAAGGACTGATTAGGGATAGTCAGCCTGTCTTTGTTTGTGGGAAATCATGTCTATCAAAATTGATTGAATTTTTTTGAGGACATGATCAAGAAGAAAGATGAGGGCAGAGTGGTAGACATTATCTACATGGATTTTCGCAAGGCCTTTGACAAGGCTTGCACGGTAGATCAGTTAGTAAAATTGGGTCACATTGTATCCAGGGAGAGCTAGTCAAATGGATAAAAAAAATTGGCTTGATGGTGGGAGACAGAGGTTGGTGGTAGAAGGATTTTTTTTCCAGACTGTGACCAGCAGTGTTCTGCAGGCCCACTGTTGTTTGCCATTTATATAAACAATTTGGATGACAGTATAAGAAGAATGATTAGTAAGCTTGTGGATAGAACAAAAATTGATGGTATAGTGGACAGTGAAGAAGATTATTTCAGGGTACAATGGGATCTTGATCAACTGGGCCAATGAGTAGCAGATGGAGTTTAATTAAGGTAAATGCGAGGTATTGCATTTGGTAAAACAATCAAGGGCAAGTTTAAGGTGAGAGGGGAATGATTTAAAAGGGACTTTCATGCAAAGGGTGATGTAAATGGAATGAACTGCCAGAGGAAGTGGTAGATGCAAATACAGTTACAACATTTAAAAGACATTTGGACGGCTACATGAATAGGAAAAGTTGAGAGAGATATGAGACAAATGCAGGCAAGTGGGACTAGTTTAGTTTGGGGAACCTGGTTGGCATGGATGAGTTGGACCAAAGGGTCTGTTTCCATACTGTATGACTCTACAACTCTATATAATATGGAAGCTAATATATCATAAACTAAAAAAAGTTATTTTCCATTAGTGGAGAACTTTGACATTCCAAAGATAGAAAATTAGTTATTCCAGGTCAGTGAGGTTGTTCAGAACCAATTATGAACTTAATATATTAGGAAAAATTTAGTTACACCTCATTCATTGGTGTGTAACCTTTTTCGAAGGTTTTTACAACAAAGTTAATAGCAATACGAGTAGAGTTTCTCATCAGTATAGTGATTACTAGATTATTTCTAGATTCTTTGTGGACCCCAATAATGAGTGACATGCAGAAACTCAGAATCACTAAGAGCAACTTCTGAATGTCCACATTGAACTGTGCATCTGAGGACTCCTGGCGGTTTCAGAGGAGTCATATCAGAATAACAACACAAGCAAAAACAATCTAGAGGACTCTGCTCATCTCAATACCATACAATCATCCCATTAATCAATGGTGTTTATGCAGAAATGAAAAAAATATAATCAAAGTATTATAACATTTCCTGGCAATAACGTATCTGAGCTATAATGTGCTACCTGTCAAGTCATTTTGAGATAATTCCCCTATGTATTATTGTCTTCACTTTCAAATCAGACAAGTTACCTGACAGAGTAATAACAAAAATGTACATTTGTTCAGTGCCTTTAATGCAGTCAAATATCCCATGGCACTGTAACAACAATAAGCACAAAATTATGAAATAATTGAAACTACAGATTGAAAATTAAATCTGCAGGGCCTCATCATATTCGACTGGGCCATAAATTATTCAGTGTTCCTTTGAAGTGAGCCCTGACTCTGTTTCTCAAGAAATCAGAATCAAATCATTGATCCCTGCCCATCACTCACATTTGCTTTGCTTAGTTATGTAAAGTAGATTTTCACTTACCCTTTCACCAGGGAAGGCTATTTCTGGGTCAGAGATGGCAGCAATCTTAGCAAGAGCATGGGACGCCTTAATTTTACCAACATCTGTGCCATGTAGGGCAAGAGGCAGTAAGGTCTGAAAAAGAATGAACAAGTGAGACAATGAAGAGAGAGAATATCAGAGATAGTAGGAACTGCAGATGCTGGAAAATCTGAGATAACAAGGTGTAGAGCTGGATGAACACAGCAGGCCAAGCAGCATCATAGGAGCAGGAAGGCTGACGTTTCGGGCCTAGACCCTTTTA